GAACAGTCAAGTGGTTGCAAGACAACAGTGGATCAGGTTCTTATCCTGCACTTTCATCCTCTCCCAAAGGCTGACTATTCTTCACAAAGACATTTTAGACACAGGCAGATCAAAATAATTGCTTGAGAAGTTATATTAATAGATTTAATGAAAAGCTATCAAAGGGACTTGAAAATGTCCTAATAGTCATGATGAGCTATATGTTGGCAGGGTTTTATGGAAAGAACAAAATGAGAGGCAGAAAAGAAACTGGTGGTGCTCTCTAGACTGCCCACACTGCTGTACAGCACAAACTCCATGGCCTTTGTGGGTGATATGGGGGAGAGTTTGTGATTTTTCATAGTAAAACAACTGCCCATGTTTGCAGTAGAATGGTTGACAGTTCTCCCTCCAGCTCCAGAGACAGTGCTGATGAGGTTTCTGAGGCCTTCTGCAGTGTGATGAGCTGCTGAAGAGAAATCTAAAAGATTGTCTAAATTGTAAAACTAGAGGTATTTACCAACAGAGAGCAAAGACTCAGGCAGTGCACACTTATTTACTGCAGAAATTAGGAAGAGCCACAAGGAGTGAGGGAGATGAATGATTATGGATGCTATAGAAGACAAACAAAAATTAATGAGCACTTTTTCCCCTGGAAGTGTCACCATACAAGCTTTAAGATCTCCAGATGCTGCTTTCACACTGAACTGTTTTTTTTAAATGTATCACTCAAACCCAGCTGAGCCTGACCTAAAGAATATTGCAGTGTTCCCCCCCAAATCCCAAATCCATCTTCCACTCCTCCAGAGCTGGTGTAGCTCAGAGCTTCCTCAAGTTCAGACCTTAGCCAAGCCCAGCTCACACTCACAGCATCTGTTGAGCTGGAAATTCTACCTGTGCTGAAACCTCCAAAGATATCCACATTTTGCATAACTCACTGCTACAAACTAGGCAACACAGATTGCTATGATGCATTATTATGGAAAAAGATCCTCAGCTTATCTTCTTTCAGAACCTCTGGCCAGCTGAATAGTAGACTCAAAGCAAGAAGCTCAGCTGAGATGAGCTATGTATTTCACACAGTTTTTTTTCATCCTCCTCACCCCTTTTTTCGTTTCCAACCCCAGTTTTTCACTGTTTCCATCCATCAGTTTTCAGCAAATGATCACAGAAATATCACATTATGAGATACAATACCAGGATCCTGCACAAAATCCCACCCCAGAGAGAAAACAGTCGCTCTGACTAAATGTGGAACAGACTTTGGACTTAATGAAGGCTTGGATTTTGGTAGAAGCCAGCTGAGAGACACTGCTGGTCCATTTTTAAGTGCTCAGTGCAACTATCTAGGAGATGCTTGGTTTAGCAAGGAGCCCTAGGGCTGGGCCCCCAGATGAAGTCCCATCCAGATGTTCACAGTACACTATGTTGCCCAGGGTCCCATGGAGGACATTCTTCAGCAGCATGGGGAGAAAAAAAGGGGGGGAGAGAAGGGGAAATGTCTGCTGAGCACACACAGAGAAATAAAAAGCACTGGCTGAGTTCCAGCAATGAAAATCTGGCCCCACTGAAGTCGGTGGGAGCTCTGCCACCAGATTTCAATGGAGACAGAATTTCAACTGATGTGAACAGTACTCTGGAAATATCCTCCCTCCAGACACACTGTGGGAGCTCTTCTGGCTCTGAAAACTCACTGGAAACACAGAAAGGGAAATTCAACCCCAAACAAGACAACAATACCAGAATGATTCATCAACAAACAAAAAGAACACAACAGCAATTAAGCAGAAAGTATTGCAGAAGTGGGTGGAAAGAAGGCAGCAACTCCTTCACCTCCTGGACCACACTGATCTTTGCCAGGAATAAAGAGGGATGCAAGGACTCAAGCTGCTGGGTACAGGGTGGAAGAAAGAGGAAGAAAGAACAAAAGGAAGAAAACTTCTAGTGCAGATGCAGCCTGGGAGTGCTCCTGTCACCAGTGCTATATGAAGAGGCCAGAACCTGGCAACTCCAGCAAAGATTCCTAGAAGTGATCAGCATCATCACTCACAAACTGCCAGGCAGGCTAGTTCACAGAGAGGGCATGCTCAGCTTGTTGTGCAACCACGAGGGCTCTGCAAATGAGAAATACAATAAACAGACACAATGCCTATGAAGGCCCATCTAGATGACAGCTATGACCCACTTCTTTAGCCCACAGTTGCCCTCTGGTTCAGTTAACATTTGGTTTCACACCACGACCATACAGTGGTCCTGGATGTTACTCTTTGACTGGCTGAAGAGTTCAGGCTCCCTGATGCCTAAATCCAGATGCCCAAATCCCTGATGCCAAATTCCAGATGCCCAAACACCAGAAATACTCCACAGAAGGCAGCTGGAGGGACAAATGCCCATCACTGCTGGCAACTCAACCCCTAACTCCCAACTAAAGAGGTCTTTGCTGCAGCTCTGCTGCCAAAAGGGACCAAACAGCTCTGCTTCTGGGAACCACTCTGGATGTGGTGGTGACAGCACGTAAATTTGCACACCCATCACTGACTAATATTCAGGTATTCCACTCTGAGATGGGCCATCCAGATGAAGATTCATGTCTACACATCAATTATGGGCCAGTGACAACAGCTAACCAAGCACTAAACCAGAGGTCCCCGAGTGACAAGGACAACACAGGCAGGCACCCACCAGGGTTTGGAAGCCTCCAAGCTTTTCTCAGGACTCCACTTTCTTCATAAAACAACTGGAAAGGTCTGTCTGATGTCACGAGGCTCACAACCTTCACAGAGGTGAGGCCACCTGCCAGTTTCCCCACCCTGCTCTCTTCTCCCTCTGTCTCAAAGAGCCAGGGAATAACCCTTTTCCCAGTCCTTCCCCATGCCACACAGCCAGCCTCTTCAGGTGATGGAGAGCTGAAGCTCCATGGTTTGCTGCCTCATCACCCCTGTGCCTGGACAGACCACTGGTCTTGGGGTGAGGTCCTTGCCTGTGGGCTCTGCTGTCAGCTCTCAGGATTGCCCAGTTTTAGTGTCTGTTGCCCAAAATAAGGGGAAAACAGCAGGCACCAATGCAAAATAAAGCATCTCTGCTGGCTTAGAGCAAGTTTCCCACCCAGTCACCTAGCTGGCAACTTGGGAAATGAAGAACTAATGTGTTTGGGCTGACACTGATCCTTCTGCAGACTCTGGAAACATGACTGGAGGGGAAGAGAGTGTGGCTGGAGAGTTACTGAGCTCTTGTGCTCCCTGGCAGCCTCAAGACTATTGTTACCTCGAGGACAAACCAGAACTGCTTCTTGGTGTGCCAAGATCCTGGGATGAAAAGCATGGACTACCCCGAGTGCTGGGCTTTGCACCAGGCTCCTGGCTCTTCTCAGCATGTGCCACGGAGCTGTGGGTGTAAAGGGCACACCACAGCCCTCCTTCCAAACTTCAGTAGTGGAGCCTTGTAAAGCACAGTGGGACAAGGATAATTATCTGCCAGAGGAGCTACTCACTGGAGGAGCATTAAGAGGGTAGAGCTGAGACCACTGTCTAGCCCAGGCTTTGTGGCATCATGAAGTAAAATCTTTCCTTCACGGTTTAAATCAGCCACAAATGCGTTTAAAAACAATTACTGGAAGGAACAAAACATCTCTTTTTGAACAGCTCTTGCCAGCATTCAAGGAGGCTTGAGAAAGTTGTGTGCCCCCAGCTGCCAGGCTGGCCACAGGAGACAGCTGGGTCTATAAGCTTGCTGCCCACCCCAGAACTTAGGACCATAAAACCACCAAACCTGAAACCAGTACCTAATTCACAAAGTGAGAACCAAAAAAAAATATCCAATTCTGGGTCACTTGTAGCTAAGGTCACAAGTCCACAATTTCCAGAAGTTATTTTCACTACCACACTAGCTATAATATGAGGGGAAATGTGCTTATCAAGTCTCTCCACGGAGCAAGGAGATCAATGTAAAATCATTTCAGCCTAGGCCCCTCATTTCTCTCCTACCTTTTACACATCATAATAATTATTTGCTGCCTTCTTCACACCCAGGCCCACAACAGTACCTAGAAAGGGTTGAAAATGTCTTATTTTTTCCAGGACCTTTGTTGACTCTGTACAAACCCCTACATTTTATCACATTCTTCTACCTTCCTTCAGGTATATTTGATGATTTTCTACAATAGTCTTGTATTAATACACTAACTGGTATCATCCAGATATGTATTTTCTACACATCTACTATTTTACCTAAAAATTAGAATTTTAGACTAGTACAATCCTCACTCAAAACAGCTGACAACATTCTTTTTAAACTGTCAGAAGTAGATTTTCAACAAAGAAAATCATTTTTAGGAGCAGATACGTGTGTAGACATTTTGAGAGTTACTGGTTCAGCTGGTGCCCCTTAAATAAGTGAAAACTAAACATATTGGAAACATTAAAAATCATCCTTATTTTGTACAAATTGGTAGCACTATTTTGCTATGCTCAGGTTTTCAAGTACATACTATGGATAAATAACCAGATGAGCTTCAGTTGATGCAGGAAGACAAAGGAATGTCAGAACTAGAATTCAATATTCTCTTTTTCTTGACTAGAAGCAGTAGAAGTGATTGCTGTGTTCACAATTTATGATATGGAAGCAAGAAGAACCTCCACATAGCAACCTGTAGGCCTGTGAGGAAAGGCAGCCAAAGGACATCAGGCAGCCAGGTGGCACATGGTGGGTCACCCTGGTGAAGGGGATCACTTAGAAACAACATCTGAAGATGGCCATTGGTACTTATTGGCTTGTGTTGACTGAAATAGCTGCTTGGGTCCACGCAGAGGACTCCAGTTAGAGTTTGCTGTTCAACACACAGGCTGCAAGGGTTTGCAGTATGCAATGACATCTAAATGGACTTACCTGGTAGATTTTGGCTGTGCTTAAGGCCACTGCTCCAGTGCCAAAGCCCTCAAAGGCCATTTTCCCCCCGCGACTGGGGCTTCTAAACACTTACTTCAGTGCAAATTCTGCCAGAAAGAGCAGAATACTTCACTTACTGCTTGTGGTGAAGTTCCCCTCCCCAGCCTGGGGGAAGGAGTCTACATCTTGGATGACCTGTAGCACCCCCACAGTCCGTGCTGGAGGATCCAGGGCTACAGAGCTCTCGTTCACTGTTATATCGCTGGCGCCCGTGATCTGGTTGGTTGGAGGTCCTCCTATGGATGCTTCCAAGTCTGGAGGGATGTCATCCATGCAATCAGCATTTGGCTAACAGGAAGAAAAGAAAAAGAAACCTGATAAATAGATTTCATTGATCAGTTCTTGATTTTTTTAGCTTTTTTTCCACTTTTTTTCAGTACTGAAAACGGCATCATAGGATGAATAAAGACACAGGTTGGTTGTTTTTATGCACTTAAAACTAAAAACAGCCTGTTGCAAGAGAGACCCAAAGCATGCATTAAACCCTGTCAGCTACCATCTCTAAATAGTCTTATTTATATTTTCTAAAGGGTTTGGGAGAGCACACTTTAAAAAAAAGCAGCTCACTTTTGGATATGATCTTCTCAACACAGGCAGATTGCTGAGTCAGATTACAAATGTAAACAGAGAGAGTAGCTGAAGGGGACTGATTATCTCTTCCCTAAATACACATTTTCTAGAGCTGATATCAGAGCTTTCAGGAACAGGGATTCAAGGGAACTGCCTGTGGGTGCATCTATGTGTGGGGTGCAAAAATAGAAGCTAAAGCTGTCTAGAAGACGAGTTTTTTAACATCAAAGGCTCTTTTCTGTTGCTAATGCTGTATTTCCTGCAAAATAAAATTAGGAGTAAAAAAGCCCAACCAAGCAATAATGGGTATTTGAAGAGTATTATTTGATCCATAGTCTTTCTTGCTTTCTGGTTCAGAGAGACCAAGGATGAAACCCAGTTCTGGGGACTTTAGAAACTTCTCACTTGCAGGTACATAGTGAACACACCGAAACCTCTTTCAAGCCAAGCTCTTCAAGCCAAGGGAAGCATTGAGAAGGGGTGGTGGTGACCACCTTCCACACAGTACCCTTAGCATTGGGCAACTGCTCACGAGGAGCACTGAGACCTCAAGTGGGCCCTGGGGGGCAAAGCAGCTCGTTTGGCCAGAGACATTATAACCAAGACTAATTTCTACCCTTGATTTCTCTGGATCTCTTAAGCCTGATGCTCCCATCCATTCAGCAGTCATTTCTATGGAGTTCCCCACTCCAACATGCCAATGTTGGAGACAAATATCTGGGTACAAAAGCTCTTTATCCTCTAGGAGGAAACAGATTCTTGCACCATCGGCCCACAGAACCAGGTCTGTGTCTCCCCAAGGCATGGAGACACATTTTTCATGTAGCCAGGTCAAGAAGTGGCTTTTGAAGTTTTAACACATTGCAACAAACCCACAGCTAACTCCAAAATGAGGATGCTGTGTGGCAGGGTGCAAAGCTTCCAGGATGACAGAGGGACATCACAAGGTTGAGCTGCAATTACTCAGATGCCTTAAGTTTGGAGATGTAAAGTTGAGTTGTTCCCATTTATCTTCACTGGCCAGGAGCCCCACAGCTCATCTGGATCAGTCACTCAGGTTCCTCCACCTTCAGTGGGGTGAGGCAGTTTTGCTGTGTGATTGCTGCCACCTCATAAACATTTCTTTTCCCAAATGTTCCTCATGAAAAAGGCAGGCATTTTAAACAATCCTCAGGTGACTCGTATCCACAAACCAAAGTTTGGGATAAAAATTAGAAGTGTAGTTGTCTGGCTCCAGTCTGAGCCCCAGGCAGCAAGAGCTCCTCAGAACTGGGAGAAAGGCACATTCAGCTATGCTGGGGTTTAATGAAACTTGTTGATCCTGTACTTTTCTAAGGGAAATAGCAATGATTTAGCTGTAGGACTTGAATCCTAAATCATTCCTTAGATTCTTTTTCTTTCCCTCACCCTTAGATGTTATAACAAACGCTTTCAGAACTTTAATTTTAATGTAAAATTTTGATGGCAGTGTATCTTAAAGAAAAGAGCCTGTTTGTTCTTTTCTACTCTGAGAATAATTACTTCAATTTTTTTTTTTTATAGGGGATCAGCTGTCTCTCCTTTGCTCTCTCCAGTTGTTCCTAGAATGGGCTTTTAGCACTTTTATAAACGGGGGATTATAATTGAAAGCCAAACCAAACATTAAAGATGCAAAAATAGCTTTACTCAATATAATTAATCTCTTTACTCCTGAATCATTTCTGTTGGAAAAAAATACTCCAAACGAAGCATCCTACTATCAAACTAATGATAAGAAATAGTGATCGAAAAAAACACATTATGGCTTCTGCTGTCAGAGTGACCCAGATACATTTGCTAAGTTTAATTATATTGGTTTCACTCGTTCCCTGCATGTAAGTGCTTTGAGGGCACAATTCCACTAAAGCCAAGGGAAGGCTTTGTATTGACTTCTGAGGGCTTGGCTAAGGCTCTTAGTGAATAGCTTCAAGTCATCCAGTCTGCTGCCAAAAACCCAGCTGTCTGCATCTCCAGCAGATTATTTGCAGAAAAAAAGGGGGAGAAGAAGAAGGAAACTATACGTGGTATGATCATCCCAACAGCAACGTGGCTCTTTGAAAGTGAAAGAGACTTTCACTGATAATTCACTTTAAATACTACAGCCAAAAGAGGTACAGTCTGAGCTGAATTCACCAGCAAGGAGACGGTGGAAAAGGTTACACCAGCCCTTTGCTGGCAGCTAGTTAATCATCCTCTGGAGCTGCAGAGAGCCACAGTGCAAAGCAGAGATGCTACAGTGCTCAGCTACTGTGAAAATGAGTGCAGTCGTTTCGGTGCCTCATGGCAGCCTGGGGAGTCTGATTTTAGGGCAGATAATATTTGAAGCCTCTGTTACAAAGTAAATGGAGAGTTTAGATGGGGACTGAATTGAAGCATTTGGACATTTGGGGTTTAACCGATCGTTTTCTGGAAAATCCTGAGTCTTCCTGCTAAATGAAGCACAATATACCCACAGTCACACAAGCCAGCTCTTTAACAACCACCACAGGACAAACACGTCGCTGGGAGGGAAAAAAACCCCAACATATTAGCTCTGCCTATGGTAAGATTTCCTCATTCCCCCCATTGTGAAAGCCTGGAAAAGGACTCTGGCAAATCTGTGCTCAAGTTTCCCATCAGAGGCTGCTGCCTGCCTAAGGCTGCTTTTCCGTGCATGGAAATTTCAGCTAAGATGGCCCAGCAAGACTCAAGAATGTGATTAGGGAATGGCATTTTGCTTTATCCTCTCCAGAGAAACGTTTGCCACCTCTCACTGAGAAGCCCTAGAGCTTCTTCCAAGGGAATGTCCTTTCCCACAGCAGCCTGCTGGCATCTGGCCCTTATGAGCCTCTGAAAATACCAGTTTCATGGGTGCTGATAGAGACTGGTGCCTTGTTCAGGACTGACAACTAGGCTCCCCAAAGAGAAGAGGGCTTTGCAAGGTGCCTGCAAGTTCATGGTGCCACCAGAGAGCACCTCACAGGACCAATGCCCACCCTGGGCTGCCCTGTGTGGGTGCAGAACAGGTCCTGAGAGCTGAGGGAGCATGAACAGCAACACCAGGGCAGGAGCTCAAAGGGATAAAAGCTGGGCAGGAAGGTTTATGTGCAGGAGAAGCAGGAAAGGCAAAAGATAGGAGAGGGAGTGGTGGAGTTGAGGTATATTTTAGAAAGAGAAGGCAGAGAAAACAGAGGAAGAGGAGCCACTGAGAGCAGTAAAGGAATTTTTAACCCCCAAGCAAGCAGATGCTGTTAAAATCCCACTTCCTTCACTGCCAGACAGAGGAAAGACCTGACACGAAGACACCATCTGCTCCCAGTTCCCATGGACAACAGCTCCTACTCTAAGTCACCTAGAGGAACAAGGGTCTAGCACTCAACCCTGCCTTCAAGAACCTAACCATGCAGGTAGGAGCCAGCATGATTCTCCCAAAAGATGGAGCAGGCTGTTCTCAGTTTGTTGTCTTAGAACAATCTAGGGAAATTTTAATAAATTCATACAATAAAATCCTCTACACAAACTTTCCTAGTGGAACATTAATATCCAGGCAGCTCATTTTGAATATTAAAGACAGCCCAGCACTAAGGCTGAATCTGAAATCTTAATTTGACCCAGTTGTTTATGTTGGTTACAGCAGTGTCTTTAATTACATGCCCAGCACAATTATATCCACAAAAGCTCCACGTGGAAAGCTCTCAGTGAGGGGAGCAGGATGGATCTTCCTTCTGCTACGTGGTACAGAGAGAAGGAGACAGGGAGCTGTGAGAAGTGAAATGATGGCTGAGGAAACCAAATAACACTTTTAATTATTCCTGGCAATTAGGTTCTACAGCTGCCACTACAGAGCTGTTCATATGTCATAAAAACCTGTCATGTAAACCAAAATCTTTACACATGGCCTCTGGGCATGTTTTCCCTTCCTCTAGATGTAGCCAGCCTCAGACAGCCTGTGGACATGCTTAGCCTTCAGCAACTGCCAGGGAAGCCAGCAAGAGTTGTGTTCTGGATGTAAATACTAACAGCACTACACTTCCTGGGAAGACCTTAACATCTCACTGCAGGCCTCCAAAAAGTGGAGGTCTGATTTGTCTGTATCCCCTGATTATGAAGCTGGCTGATGAGCTTGTTACTGAATGAACCAGTGTGAAAGCAAAACTCCTGTGGTCCTGCATGGTGTGGGAGAAAGCCAGGGAAAACTGTACTGGGTACAGAGAAGAGGTGTCAAAATCCTGAGTGATGCTCACTGGCAGGCTTGTGAACTGAGACACAGAACCTGGGGAAAAATATGTCCATATGAGCTATTTTTCTGTATATAACTCTTTCATATGTGAGCTGGCATGTCACTGGGGAGGGTATTTACAGCACCTGTTAATGCATTGACTGGTGGTGCTTCAGTACTGAGCTTCACTATCATGTGGCAAGCCTCCCACGACGTGAGAAGGTCACTCACTTCCTCCTGGTGAAGGCCCTGAGCTCTGTGCTAGCTGCAGTTAGGAAAGGGTAAGGCAGACAGGACATGCACTATCCCAATGCAAACATGCAACCTAAAAAGATCAGTTCCTTCAGCAGCTTCTGACCACGTCTGGATCTTCCCAATAACAAAGAGCTTAACAAGTTCTTGCATGTCATGTGGTTCGCCACATACTTACAGGGAGAAATGCTTCCCAGTTGGAATTAGCAGTACAGAGCTTGCTACAGATAGACTTTAAGAGAAATCTGACAGAAAAAAAAAATCTGGATCTCCAGAATGAGCAATTAGTTGTCCTCAACTAGTATAGTATGGAAAATTTTATTTGCAGACCTTCTGCTTTGAGATTTGAACTGACAGCACGATTAAGAAAATAAATCCAGCCCTGATTTAAAACACAAACAAAAGCTATGTGAAATAATCTATATAGCTGCCAAAACACCAGTAAACAACCCTCTGCTCCACAGATACAGAAATCCCAACACCCAATCAACCCCCATACACACACTCTTCCTTGCTAATAAAAGCAGGGTGCAGAAGGGAGGCAGAGTCAGACATTTCAGCTTGTATTCCCCTTAATAAATCAATTAATAAACCAATAACATGGCAAGAGAACAGGATGGGAACAGACAGGCAGAGGGCTAGGGACATAGCCAAGTAGCTGGTGTGTCCCTTCTGCCCTGAGCAGCTGCTCTGTGATGTACTCACCGGGATCCCTAGAGCTTTTAGAATATTCATTTTACACATCGGGCAGGTACGATGGTCTAGCAGCCAGGGATCTACACAGGACTTGTGGAAAAGATGCCTGCAATGAAAACCAGGGTGTTTTAATCCAAATCCACCACAGAGCAATTTACCACTTTGTATCAGCTGCTGCTTCTGAATCCAGTAAAGTGAGAGTATTTCAAATTGTGACCTCCACAAGAACTGCAAAGCTGTATCCTATGCACACAGGACTGAGGTGGTTTCTGCAGCACCTCTAAGCACGTGCACAATGTTGCTAAGCTGAGTTTGGAAAAGAAGACAGGTACATAATGAGAGAATTAGGGAAAATACAGAAAATCCATCAGCAAAACCCAGATTCTTTAAATGTTAAAGGCTGTCAGTGAACAAAACCTGTTTGCTGGTAAAGGTAAAAATCACATTAGTATTTCTTGATGGTTCTACAGACAAATTTGATTACACATAATTTAAATGAGAAGCCATCCGGGCTCTGGTGTTTTTTAGGATGCAGACATAAGGACATAAAGTGATAAAAATAAAGCACTACTTCTCATTTAAATGGAAAAAAAAAATAGGATAATGCTTTTTCAAACATTCTCTGTGATTTTCCTGCTCTTTAGAAGTTGCCCATCAAGAGTGAGCTCCTAAACAATTCCAGCCCTGGAGGGGTTGTTGCTAATCCTGTGCTTGGTCTGAAGAGACCACTAAGCAACTCTCTGAGCCCTGCAGCTGCTTGGGGCCACTTTTCTTAGACATTATCCAGGTGGAGGAATTACAATTTTCTTGTCTAGCTTTTCCTGACACAAACCCAGATGGAATATAGAGATATTTAGTGTGTGTACCTGACTGGCAGACTGTGTTTTCTCTTGTGGGTATATTCTATTACCCCGTTGTTATAGAGAACAAATGTTATAAAACCCAGGAATGTGAAGCTCAGGATAGATGAAATGCTGTTGAGTAGGCCAAGTAGAGGAGTTGGGGCTCAGCCCAAGGCAGTAAAGTTTGTCCAGCCCCACTTTTTATGAAGAAAAGGAGGAAAGTTTCCTACCACGGACATAGCTTCAAAAATTTCCTACACTGGCATATAGGAAAACTGAAAATTGACTTGCTTTCCTAAAAATCTTTTTCACCAATATGGCCCACATACTAACTGGCTGGCTCCAGTCCTCAGTAGCACTAGAAATGCAAAGCCAAAGCTGTGTGAAGTCTCAGGATCTTATTATTTTCACTGATTTTTTTTCCCCTCACCATTTCTAGAAGAAACATTTCCTTTGTGAAACGAAGCTACATGGCAAATTATCACACTCCTGTACTTCACAGAGCTCTGGGAAAGGGCAAATATGTTCTTGGAAGTTTGACCTAGTCTAATTACACCAGTTGGATGCAGTATGAAACTTTGTCAAGCCTCATCTGATCCTGTATGTCAACATAATTAACGCTGATATATCATGATACTTGAAGTTGAAACCACTACTCTAATAAGGCTGCTGAAGTCCACAACCCTCCTTTCAAACAAGACCTGCTTGACTGGGTAGAAACACAATGCACCAAATTTCAGTCCTGCATAACTCCTCCTTTTATCTCAGGAGGGACATATTCAGCACGTCATCTGGGGAGCATCCTGAAGAGATGAAAGCATAGAGACACCATCCTCAGGCATGTGTAATTATACATCTAGGAGTCTAACCAACAGCAAGTGATTTCAAACACTCCTCCATGGCAGTGTGCTAATTCACAGAAGGTATTGAAGATCTTCCTTCTCTGCTCTTTGAAATAGCTACAAAATTCTTGATAGTGACTGTTTTCTTTAATTAATTATGTACTCAAATTCATAAAAAGTATGTTTAACTGTAAACATATGAAGCACATTCATGCCAAAATAATCAGTACATTTACAAAAATCTGAGACATTTATTATTCTCTTGAAAAAAAAAACAGATTTACAGAATCTGGTTTGGATAAAAAATATGCAGCTTCTATGGAGCCATTTTACCATAGACTAAAAAGTCTTTTGTTTTCAAGTTCAAGCTTTGCAAGTCTCAGTCAAGCTGTGGTTCATATTACAGCATTTCATAACGTTTGGTAATCACCAAAAGCTTGCAACTTTTGTGCTTTAAAGACTTTAAAGTTTAGTGTTCCTAAAGTTGCCTTCAAAAAATAACACACAAGAAATCCTACCAATGCTGAGTAATTTAAATATATGACAGATCATGTCACTTATCACCCCTCAATACTAAATTAGCAGTGGATTGTGGCCCTATTCATTTCATATTTAATATGTACAACGGAATGAACTCAGTTATTGGACAGAAATACACAGAAAAATGGAATGTTATTGAAAATGAGATAAATTTTTAATTTTTTGTACCACATTGTCTAATTAGAGCACTCAGAATACCTATTTTTGAACATAGAAACATCTGTGCAGAGAAGTGAGGTGGCAGGCTTGGCAGATTCAGATCTGAGAATTTATTTTATTCATTATTACCTAGAGCACTATATACATGTTTATGGCTTTCAGCAAATTACTGTCTGATGTCCTGCTAAGTTTAGAAGTTAAATTCAGGCAAAATAAGGGTCAGCACAAAGTAAGATGAGAGAGCAACTGCAATAGCTCACTGTCATGTGGTAAGACAAAGATGTAAAAGATGACTTGCAACAAAAATCCCCTCTCCCTCTGCAGTTCTGATGGGTGCAAGTCTTAAAAGGAAGGAGACAGTAGAGGCATCATGAGCTCAGAAGTAATGACCCAGACAGGGAGACAACAAGAAAGATGTTTCAAGCATGGGCTCAGGACATGAAACTCTAAGTCAGACCTGGAAAAAAATCTGTTGGGCTTTCCCCCCCACACATTGTGCATTGCAAAACTATGTTGATTTAGATGGGCTGAAAAGTTTTTCAAAAGAACTGTAATTCATTAGTTGAGAGAGAGGAAGGCCAGAGATGTTGTAACAATCCTCATACAAAACAAAGGCTTCCATGAGGAGAAAGGAAACAACTGTTCTTCACCTCTCCTATGAGAGAGACAATGATGTCTCTCTCATAGGAGAGGGATGAGAGACACAATGATGTGTCCAAACCACAGCAAGGGAGATTCAGGTTACACAAGAGGAAAAAACTTCACCAGGGTAGCACTGCAATAAATTATCAGGGGAATTTGCAGAATCCTCATCCCAGAAGACTGCAGAGTGTGTTGGAAAAAACTCAAGAACAACACGTGCAGGGCCAGTGCCTCTGTGCTGCTCCAGAGGTAGTGGCCTCCTGGGATCCCTCCTGCACTCTTCTGTGGCTACACGTGGCTGTGTAAAGCTCATGGAGAACAAAGAAAGAAAAAGAACCTCAAAATCCCTGAACATTTACTACTACCTGCATAACACTCCATATTTTTTCAATAGAGATGACTTTTGTTCAAAATGTATTGAAATTTTCTTCAAAGTGGCAATTTTAATCACACAACAGAAAAAAAAAATACTTTTGGGCTCAGCCCAAGGTTACAATATTAATAATTTGATTGTTGGAGAAGTATTTTGAAGTTTTCAGCTTGCCAACAACTCTGAGAAGCTTTTTTCCCAGGTTAAGTGAAACTGTTTTCTTCCCACCTTCTGCTCCTAGTCTCATCTTTCCAACCTGCACACAAACCAACCTAGCAGAGATGGAATTTTCCCCAGAAGAGAAGCATGAGCTATGAGAAAAGGAGGAAAAAGAAGAAAGAGGTCTATCCCTAGGGCCCCTCAGTAAGAGCATCAGTTGCCTGGATTAGGCACAGGGCTGAAGCAGAGGATTGAGAAGGGATTTGTTGAGAGACTGAGCAGCAACTGTAGCATCCATGGGTAGTTTTGGGGTTCTGGGGGTGCATGTACAGTGCTATCTGTTTATTTTTGAGAAAGAAGGAAAGACAAAGAAGGGTAAATAAGAAGAAGGAATCAAAGAGAAGACTGTGTGATTAAATAATTTCCACAGGAAGATAATAAAAAAAAGGAGTGAGGCAGTCTCTGAAATCACAGTTGTTCATGAAGTAAAGGTTTAGGGGAAGGGGATGAACTGGAATGGGGTCAGAAAGCACCTTTTTTTGGTGACAGAAATAAAACAACCAAAAAAAGAGCTTATGAAGAACTCAGTAGAGATGAGGTTAAAAGAATTGTCTTGCCTCTCTGTAGAAGTTTAGTAAAGTCAGTAAAAGTTTAGTAAAAGGCACACACTGGGAGCAGCAAGCAGCAGTAACATCTCCAAAGGCAGAGGAGAAAAGATGAGGGTGTTTTGAAGCTAGAGGTGGAGGAGAAGCAGAGGAAGTAGGGCTATGAGAAGAGATGTCACTCTGGGAACAATGAACTTGGTTATATTTGATGTAGTGTCAGTGTCCTCAAAGATAACTTCAGTGATGTTTGCTGCCATTAAACACAACCAGCCGCACGCCAACATGTCTGGATTTTTTAATCAAGTGTCAGCCCTCATTTATTGAATGCCTTGTGTGGAGTGAAGTTAATTAATACAGTCAGTTGTGGGACCAGGCTAAAGAGGACAGAGAGGAAGAAGCACAAGTTAACTGGAATTCTCCTCCTCCCTCTCCAGAGTGGGATACAGAAGAAATAAGACATTTCTCTGCCAGCAGAAAGAAAAGAGGACCTTTGGGGAACCAGGGTAAGCACTAGTAGATGTATCTGTATGACTTGAGACCTCATCCACTGCAATATTTAATAATTAATAATATTTCATACTTAATAATTTCCCAGTACTGCCAGCAGTACGAGGTAGCACCTTTCCAATGCAGCTCTTTGGGCAGATTTGGCTTTGCAGGTAAAAAGTTCTACATCTTGAGCACCCCCTGGGCAGAGGTAAGGTCAGCCAGCACTGATGTCAGATGGTGCTGGCCTCTGCAAGGCTTGGAGAATTGCCAGCCTCTTATTAAACAGCACTCTCAGGAGGTTCCCACACAAGAAACAGCACACAGCTTACCTGAGGATGCTGGAGGAAGAAACCTATGGAGCTTGGAGGTCTTTACCAAGATATAACACTCTCCTAACTCAACAGAGAAATAAATTAATCCACTTAGGGTTTTTTTTTTTCCTTTTTTTATTTTTTTTTGATGAAGGGACAAGACTGACAACAGCAGAAAGAATCAGAACTATTCATTCCCTGCTTTGGAAGCCCAAACCCATGGGAGCATGTAAAATACTGCCCTCACAATTTGAGCAGCAGGAAAGCCAAGGTTTGTGAAGTAGCTGCTGGAGACAGATCTTTGAGTTTTGCTAATTCAAAACTGCTGAGGCTCAAACTGTGAGTATTTGACAAGCCAGTTCTGCTGCTGCTACCCCTTTCAGCATGAGTCACTTTCCAGGAGACCTTTTAATTCAGCCAAGAACTGAACATCACCTGTTAACTATGTGCTTCCTAGTCACTCAGCTTGACTCAACACTGTGGATGACAAAGTCTGACTGGAAACTCACTGAATTATGAGGCAAGACACAAGTGGAAGTTAGAGCTTAGACTTCTTTTTTTTTTGCTCTTGCTTAACTACCTCCAAAAACTGCCTGTCTCTATCATGCAAAACTTCCAATTTTATTAAGCTTCTCTGAAGGCAGGCTTAATGTCAAACCAAGGGTCACATTTTTGGGTAATTTCTCATTTTTCTGTATTTCTGTTTCACGAAGTGATGCGTTTGTGTCTGTTCACAGAAAAAGACTCCACATGCAATTTGTCACCAGAGGGGAATTTACAGCAGGTCAAATTTATGATTAATCTGTGGGTTTTGTTTGCCATTTAGTGATGGGAGCAAACAGATTTAATGAGTCACATGACTGAACAGAAATGGCCAGCTTGTAACATTCAAATATCGACTAGGGAACAACACAGAAGGAAAATAAACAAATATTTCAGTTTCTCAAGCCAGTGAACATGTCTGCAGGAGTAGAAAGAAACTCTGTTAAAACAAATAATCTCTTCTCTGCATGCACAGCACTTGAGATTCCTGTTTCTAGGGAAATCAAACACTTGCTTTTGCTGTCATAGGGGAAGCACCATTCCTAGGAAATTTCCTACAAAATTTCTTTCCTTAGAGAAATCCTTCATGAGTTAACACTTCACAGTGACATTACAAGGACACAGAGAGAGGAATACAGCTGTTACAGGTAATAAGAAGTCAGGAGCAGATTATTCTGAGGCACTTATTATAGTCTGATATAAAATCAGTGAGAAAAATAAAGGACTCAAACCCTTTAGTTTAAAAATCCTACTGGAGACTCTGTAATAGGTCCTGGTCAGACAAAATTTCTGGCTGTCATGCTAACCTCCAATCCTCACCACTGTTAATACTACTTCCACTTTGAGCTGAATAAAGAGGCATTTCAGGTATCTCTACCAACAGATTTTGAATAAAACAAGGGTGATAAACTCACCCTTCCCTCCCCAAGCTCTCAGGTAATCTCACCAGCTCCACACTGTGAGAACAAAGCCTGTCTTGGAAGTAGAGAGACTATCAGAGCTAAGTCACCTTCAACTTACCTGCAAGGCAAAATCCTGACAACATCATTGGGCTTGTAGCCTTCAATACAAACAGCACAGTTATCAAAGTCTGGCTCAGTTTCCTACAGGAAAGAGAACATTCATCATTTTCATTTTTTTTTGATTTTGTCAGCTAATCTCTTCGTACAAGAGTTTATGTGATAAAGTAAAACAGTCACTGATGCATGCTGCAAATCCAGTAACACATTTCAAGACAAGCAAGTCAGATTTTCCAACATGTTTCCAGCTGGAGATTTGCCCTGGGAGACACGGGCAGCATGCAGACTTAGTTAGCAAGTTTGAACTTTCAGGATTTTCTGCATCCTCACAGAATCACCTCTCTCTACCCCATTCCATCTGTAAATTGCTTACCAGCATTCCTCCCCTGCCTGAAGGACATAGAGCTGCTCAAGAAGAATTGCCATTTCTGTTCTGCCTCATTGTCCCAATGGTCTAAAAGAATCCTCAGCACAGAGTTTCATTTAGTAATGAGCAATTGGAGAAATTACCTTATCACCTTTCCTGATTGTTCTGACTTGTAGCTTGCTGATTGCTTTCTTTGCAGCATCTCCAAGCCGGCGCTGTAACACAAAATTTGCTCTTGAGCAAAAAGTATCTCCTCATGCAGAAATCATCCCCCTTTCTCCCTAGGCTTCTTAATAACCTGAAGTGACTGTACATGAAACAGGACAGCACTGTATAAATATAAACAGATGAGTTCAATCCCAGTTATCCACAACAAAGGCACAGGAGGTATTTCAGGTTTGCTGGTAACCTGTGGCCAATGAGGCAGAGCTGCTCTGATGGAGCTCCAGTTGAGCCCATCATGATGTTGCACTACAGCACTTTTACTATCCCAGTGAGCAGCAATGTATGTAACAACTCCACTAATTTGGTATCCTACTTCTTCCCTCTTTTTTTTTAATGACACGTGTGAAAAATCCATTACGAAATGGATTATTAAACCACGAAAAAAATGATTAGTCTTCTCTGCCATCCTCTTTTCCTGCAATACAGTGTTGCCTGCTTCACAGGAGCAATGCAAGGTATGAAAATGAGGTGAAAGCATCTGCAGTTTCTTACAGGCAAAGCACTATACAGTCCTGCAGCAACACCCTATCCATACATAAACACTTGCTTAGAATCATAGAATCCTTTAGG